CGGGGCCGGGAGGGCGGGCGGGCCTTATACGGTCCCGGTGCCCGCTCCTCCCCGCGGCGGTGAGCGCCCCCGCGGAGCGGGAAGGGGCGGTGATCCTGGCGGCGCGGCCCCGGCCGGACCGTCCCGGGCTATCGCCGCCCGCCCCGTCCCTGCGGGCCTTGCGGCGCCGAGGCTGGCGGGACGGCCCCGCTGCAGAGCCCCGCCTGAAGCGGGTTACACCGCAAACTGGGGTCGCGGTCCAGGGTTTTGGAGGGAAGGCAATTCACCCGTCAGTTCCCTAGGACGGTAGTTCCTACCCTTCTTCATTAGCTATGCTACCATCGCCCCAAAAGACAAAGGTGAAAATATGCTTTAATACATATTTCTATGGGTTGAGGAATCTGGAAGATAGATCACTGAAGGTGAGTTGCTGAACACTGCAGTTATGTGGCAGGGTTTTGCTAATGCTCTTCAACTAATCGCGGGTTCAAGAGTCAAAGTGCACAGGAATATCACAGATGGAGCTTCACAGCTCTTACCCACAGGGAAATGCATCAAAAACACCTATGGGATTTCAAGGCCAGGGATGCCAAGCGGCGGCGATGTGCCTGTTTCTACAGCTAGCACATCCAGGACTAACACAGCAAATACTACATTTGACCACTTTGCTCTATGTTAGCAACCCCATATGCGGGATTAAGATGTAAGGATGCCGAAGCTGACTAAGGTGGGCCTGACAGCAGCACAGCTGCACACAGCACACCTTGCAGCAGGGCTCAGTAGCTTTGCACGGAGGCTTTCGGGCTTGAACTGTGCATTGGCAAAGTGCTAGGCTGGAGGTGATTTCCTAGTGCGTCAGCACCAGTTTGTGGATAAAAACTCTTTCCTGGCAGGTAGATAAGTCTCTTTCCTGTCCAGCCTCTGTGGGCTCTTATCTGCAGCTGGATTTGCTGGAAGCGGTCTTTGCTGCAAGGTGCTCTGGCTTCAGCACAAGGCACTCTGAGCTGCCTGCATCTGACCAATTTCAGACACGGTTTTCAACACCCTTCTGTATCTTAGACAGAAATGATTGACCAGACACCCGACAGCCAAACTCAGCTCATGGAGCACTTCCATCTCTGTGGGAGCTCTGGATTTGGCAGGCCATTTGGAGGTATTTCTGAGTGCATGTTGGAAGGGAGGGGTGCAGGTGGAAGTCCGGTCTGTCAGGGTTATTCAGTTGAGCTGTGAAATCATGCCTGTTTTGGTCTGGCCTCTAGACGCCCATCTGGGAGTATAAACGTCCCTGAAAATACAGAAGCTGGCCACTGTGGTACAAGTGGCATTTCCTAATCTTACCACAACAGGTTAGGGCATCAGTCTCTCTGGCCCAATTACTCTTTAGTTATTTCTACAATGAGTAACAGCCAGATGTCCTGCTGAGGAAGAGCAAAGAAACTTATTCTGTACCTCTACCGGTTAGGCTATAGAGCTATTGATTATCTGAGGTCATTGCCCTAATTTGCTATCGGCTTTTGACCACATGAAAGATGAGATACCCTCCCAACAAAGCTTCAATCAAAACCAGCACCTTCCCACACAGTGCAATGACCTGGTGTTGTCCAGCAAAAATACATGTTGTCAAAAAACATGACCCGCTTTGCCCCAGGAAGGACATAAGCAGCCTCCTGCCCAGACCCACACCTTGTGCCGCTCAGAGCTCCATGCTCGGTGTCACTTGTTTGCACTCTTTCAGGTATTATGTTGCTGAAACCATTCAAACAATAGCATGCATTTAAAGTATTGACTATGTGGGATTATTATAGTTTTGATTCTGCTCCTTTATCATTTTTGACATAACGTAAACACAGCAAGTGATAACGTGTTGGAAAACAAATCATGTTTCTTAACTGAAACACAGCTACGAGGAAATGCATGTCACTCTGGTTTCTGGCATCTTTAATTCTTTTAAACAGGAGTGTTAAGCAAATTGACTTTCAAATGTTGTCATGACCGATATGGCAAGAAACGCTGGATCCTCCCATTCGGATGTTTCCATGTTAGGAACCAGCAGCAAATCTGTATGATGCCCATGTCCCAGATCACAGTAAGGGGACCTGGAGAATAAAGCTAAATGTTTTTCTTCTGGATTTTTCACACACAAAATCAAATTACCTCCATGGAACACAGCTTGTGCTGTGTAACAGAGACAGAACTGCAGGTGTTTGCTTTTTCTCATTGCTACAATAGATATTTAAATGTCCTCCAAACTCAGAGACCATATTTCATTGTTTCCTTGTAGCACTTTGTTCCATTTCCATCGGATCTTATGTCGTCCCTCATCTCACTGGCTCTGTGACTCTGTTCTTGTGAGATCCGCTGGCATCAATGGGATCTGGTGTTTAATAGGCAGTGTAAGATTCACATCTCTCCAGCACCCTCAAGTTAAAAAGGCCATGAATCTGCCTAAACAAACCCCAGACTGCCCTATGGGGTCCAAATGGTTCCTTCCTTGTGCTGGTATTGGGCTCATTTCCATCACTGGACACCTCTGTGAGGTGTTACTAGAAGTGTCCATAGTGCTTGGAAGGACAGTCCCTCCCTGCTCCTTTCCATGTGGGTGGGCCACAGCACTGGGAGATCGGTGGGATGGGTTTCCCTCTATAGACAGGAGACAAATATATCAAGCCCTGTGCTTGGAGACATGTTGCTCACCTCTCTGAACTAAGTTGTGGAAGTACACGTTGAGGGGTTCTCCTGCTTGCAGGAAAATGTGGGCATGGGCAAAACCAACGGGAAGTGAGGTAGGAGAGCACTGGAGGCCCAGTGAACACTGCTTGGCAATGCTGCAAGACCCTTGCAATTTGCCTTGGCAGCCGGGGAGCTCTCAGACTTCCAGTGGTTCCTTGCTTGAGTGTGCAGTTTCAGGCTGTGTGGGCCCAGCTGCACCTACACCAGCTGAGCTGAGTTTGCAGCTGAAGAGCAGGTCATGCTCAACAATACTCCTGCGTAGTGCCAGGACTGGGTTCGGAAGTCTGAACTCCATTCTCTTCTGCTTACACAGGGAAAGGTTTGGAAACCCTGCCAGAGAATAGCTGGCCATTGGTAAAAACAAACAAAAAAACAACCAAACAAAACCATTTCAAAACAAAATCTGCAAAAACTAATTTTTGGCCTTTTTTGTACTCAGTTTGGCCTTTTCTGGGAACAGTGTTATGATTTGTCATTTTGAAAAATTCTGTTTATTTTTGTTTAGATGATTTCCTTAGGAAATTAGGGGTGTGGGATCATGCTCTGTGTGTATACATATGTGTATGCATGTGGAAGGTGTTTGCCCTCTATCCAATAACCATTGAACACCATGACCAAATTTACAGAGGGGCAGAGGCCTCAGAGACATTAAGGTGCTACCAGTTTCATGAAAGTAGATGGGCAAAAAAGAGTAAATGTTCTTGTTGAAAAGAAGACTGCAGCAGGAGCTGAACCTCTATTAGATAACAGTGAAACTATATGAGAGAAACACCTTAAAAAACACCCAGCTGCAGGCACAGCTTCTCATCTTCTTAAATACACAAGCCAACCAACACTAAGTCACAGAGCTATAGGGATCCAGGTTCCATTTCCTCCTCTGTTCATGGAGCTACCTGTTAAATTTCCTTTTGGTCATCGTTATTATTAGCAATAATATATCAAACTTAATCATTGAATCCTAATTAGACAGTTTGATTTTGCTCACAATGCAGTGCTTCAAGTCAAAATGCACTTCTTTTAGTCCTGGAAGATTTTGATTCCCGCAAAAATTAATAAAACCGCAACTGCTTCCTGCACAGCATCACTTATCGCCTTGAAAAGCCTGCTCAGATTTTGGTGTAATGGAAGTTCATTGCTGATGGTGTTTTGTATTTCTGAAGATCAGTTAGTGTTTGGCTCCACCCTAATCTCTCCTGCTTGCTGTGCTTGTCCACACACTGCTGTTTTGAATTGCTGGGCTTGGTATAGCTAGTTACCTGACTACCATCATCATTGACTTTGCTCCCCCTGGTTTAATACTACCTTAG